GTTCACCTATATATTATGTATGTTGCACATGTTTTAAGGATTGATAAAGACACTCTGTGTCGAAACGTTGCCTATATCATAGGATAGCGGGATAAACTACCATTATACCCTACTGCAGTGAGCAGAGGTGTTTGTTATTCTATGGATATATATAGATCCACTTAACAAGGACTATACCTGTGGCACAGGCACAGAAAATTCAGTGACTTTATTGTGTGTCCTACACAATGTTTAGCTGTTTCTATGTTTTACACAAATTTATTTTACTAATCACACTAATCTTAGGCAGGGACACACATGCCTAAGATTAGGAAGCGCATTATTAATAGCTTATATGTACACATACATTGTGGCAGAACCACTTACTTCCCACTGGTATTGTGTATTTTATCCCTGTGTTTCGTATTTTGTATCCGCTCCCCGTTCGGGAGTGCTCATGCAAGAGGAACCCCGATATCCCATTTAGAACGCTAGGTAGACAGTTCTCACCTCGGACATAGTTGCAAAACCGCAAGGGAGGCAATTAATGAGTGCTCCCCTGGGTGGCCGCCATTTCATATAGACGAACGCCAGCTAGGGGGAGCATTCGTGGATTGTTTCCCGGCTCGTTTGTCTCCCGAACGAGGACCACCCCAGTGCCCTATTAGAACGCTCCCACCAATTAATTAGAATGTTAGCACTCGCAACATAAGTGTGAAACTGCAAGGGAAGTAATTAATGAGGGCTCCCCTGGTGGCCACCATTTTGCGTAGATGAACAAACAACCAGGGGGAGCACTCGTACCCTGAAAGGAAACACTTCCCTTGCAGGTTTTAGCACAGGAACCTTGCGAACGGAGATTGATCGGAGAATGGGCCATTGTGAGGTCACCTGAGGTTGGTACACTGATGAGTTTGGCGGGCTCTTCTGTGCCCGGGAGACAAAGGCTCTCTTCCCACGCTTTGGCTCCCAGGCACAAAGGCTCATGGGATGAGGACCCCCTGTTGTCCTGGGTGGAAAGCTCCTCGCCCGAGTGGTAGGCTTTTCATATTTGGGAGACAAAGGGATAGCGAGCCCGTTTTCAGGCTTGGGCTCTCTGATGTAGAGGATCCTGGGATATGACCCCTGTTTGTGAAGGTTGAAGACCCCTTGCATGGGGCTATGCATAAAAGTCGTGTGTGGCTCAATAAAATTGTGTTGTACCTCCAGAGCTGTGTCTCGTCCAGTTAATGGGGGAATATGGATCTCTTTATTTGCTAAGTGGTTCCTGAGCGGCTACCCGGGGTCCGCTACACACGTACAGATAATATTTACTTAGCCAGGCTACACTAGCATAGCTAAAATCTTGCGGTCTTGTAGATAACTGATTTTGTCAAAGGAAGCATTGCAAATAAATTCCTAGACATGCAAGGATGGTGCCTATAACCCCTGGAATTTAAAGATCCCTGGCACTGGTAACAAACAAGCAGTATAGCAATATTATTTCATACACGTTCATTTTGCAACAAGACATTTTTTTTTATTAGCAGACAGAGAGAAGTAGATGTATTTCATGACACTCTTGTATGCTGTTCAAATCATGGAGCAAGCAACAAAGAAATACATAGGGCACCTGAGAATATTTTTGTGATTAAAAGTTTTATTCGTCACCACATATAGATCACGTGCGGTTATCAAGGAAAGCATGCATCAAAGGTAACAATCAATTTTAGAAAGCGTACAGTGACTGTGCAAACAGCCACGCAGGACTGAGGTAACGTCTTTAAAAATAAACAAAAGCATTATGCTCAGATAAACAGAGTATATAGTCATCATGATGGTATCTCTTACCCACAGGCCCACTCATCTATCTTAATGCAAGCCACAGTAACAATGTGAACAGACACACAGGACTGAGATAAAGTCGTACACAATAAGGAAAGCGTACACGTGGACCCTTCAGTCCTACATCAATAATTATTATGCTTGTATAAACAGGTGATATAAGCACTTCAAAAGGACGTCACTTCCCCAAGGTCCCAATCAAATATCTCAAAACAAACTATGTGCAATTAAGCGAGGCTGGGTAGACCCATCCTTAAAACGCTACTGTCATGCAGCAGGGGATGGTTGAGGTCACTAAGGCATCAGGCAGGTCAACTGCAAAACCTAGTCCAGCACCTTGACATGAACCTGAAAGCTCTTCACATCTTATCCAATGGTAAGCCTTTCTCTGCTGGCAACCCAGGGCCTGTCCCCCCCAATAGGCCGTACCTCCACCGTCGTCCCCAACCCCTCAGCCGTGTCTATTGGGGAACCAATGCCTGGAAGTCTGGGTGGTAAGCATCAAGCAGACAGTGAGTCCAAATATCTGTGTATGTTCCTGGGACGCAAAGGTCAGTTCCTCTAACTGTCGTAGGTCCTCAATTTTGTCAAACAATAATGTCAGGGGCGAGAGTTCCGCCTTTTTTCAATAAAGGGGGTTAACCTGTTTGGCCGTGTTTAGAATCTGTATGGACAAAGACCTTTTGTATTTGGCAGTTGGAGTGGTGGTGTGATGTAGGTGGAATGGCGCCGGTGTGAAAGGTGGTGGGTTGTCCGAGAACTTCACGAGGATGGCACTAATTGCCCTCCAGAAAGGTTGGATTTTAGGGCAATTCCCCCATACATGCAGGAATATGCCCAATGCGGCCTGACAATGCCAACAGTCGCCGTCCAAGGTAGGGTTTCCCCAAGGGCCACTTCCCATTTCCCCATGAAGCTAGGTGCTGGTGAGTTCCCTTGTGTTTGGAGTAGGGAGTATAGAAAAGAGACTGCGTGAGGTTGCAGGGCAGGGTCTATACAATTCTGTTTGAAGTAGGTAAGAGTCCTATACAAGTCTGGTTGTTGAGGTATGTGGGTGAGAAACCTTTTAAGTTGTTCGTACTTAAACCTATGCATGAATGTGCCTGCCATGTCCCCCAATAAGTCCTCCAGAGTCTTGAGTCCCTTCCCCTTAGTCATGTGGCAGACCTGGACCTGTTAGTGTTGAAAGAAGCAGGAGTAGGGTCTGCCCCCCAAGCCCGATGGAAAGTCAGGGTTATTGGTGAGTGGGTAAAGGAGTGACGGGAAAGAGGAGAGGCCCAAATTTGGGGCCAACCTATGCCAGATGGCTAGCAACCCGTTAACACCCTACTCTCTCCTTGTGTCATCCAGACTAGAGCTTGCATGTCTCTCCACAATTTGGTAGCCCCGCCCATGGCCCATTCTAGTAGTCTGTTCATTTGGGTGGAGTAATAATATAGGAGAAAGTCAGGTACTGCCAGCCCCCCCTCTGCCTTTGGTCTAGTCAGAATCTGGTAACGTATTCAAGGTTTCTGGGAGCCCCATATATTTATCATCAGCGATCTTAAGGATGTGAAGTACATAGCCGGAATAGGGAGCGTCTGGGACAGGTAGAGGATGCCTAGCCAAAATATGTGTGGTAGCATCCAATCTGCCAAGAGGTCCCTAGTTATCCAGACCCCCAGTTACTTAACAGCTCTATCCAACCATTAGACATGAAAGTTCCCACGCACGATGGTAGCCCTGGTCGAAGGCACTGAGATGTTGGTACAATTGATTTTAAAGTTAGATAGGTCTCAATAAAGCCCAGACTCATGCATGATGTTCGGCAGTGTAATGCCACAAAGTGGTACGCCACAAAGAACAGGAGATCGTCCGCATAAGCAGCTATCTTGTGCATCTCGGTCCCCACCCGAATAATACCACGAATATCCGGATTCCTCCTCACCGCCTGCAGGAACGGTTGGAGGACAAGAGCAGAGGCGACAGTAGCCAGCCCTGGCACGTGCTGTTTCGGATTTGAAAGGATTCCGTGTACGCCACTTTGATGCAAACCCTAGTCTGTCGGGTTATAACACAGGGCCGCTATTCTGGTACCCAGACCAAGACCAAGGGCTCGTATAGTTTGGAAGAGAAAATTCCAGCTCACCCTGTCGAAGGCCTTCTCCATATCCGTGGACAGCAGAAGGAGGTCGTCTGTGCCTGATGTATCAATGACAACACACGCGTGGTGTTGTCCCTGGCTTCGCGGTGAGGGACACATCTCACCTGGTCCGGTTTCATCAGGTTGGGCAGATATGGGTTCAGTCTGGTGGCCAATATCTTCGGGAACAGCTTCAGGAAGATATAGGTCGGTAGTTGGCACACTACTCTAGGTCCTTGCCCTCTTTGGGGATCAGGGTGTTGTTGGCAGCCTGCATTTGTGTGTCAAGCTGCTGTCCTTCCGTGAGGGAGTTAAAAGGAGTCAGGAACTGTGTGTATAGAACATCTGCAAACTTTTTATAATAACTTCTGGTCCTGGGCATTTACCAGTTTTTGTGGTCTTCACTGCTTCTGCCAGCTCCTCAATGGATAAGGGAAGCCTTGAGCACCTCTCGTGCCTCCGTCTCCAGTGTGCGCGGACATTCGCCTCCAGGTATTGTCAGATGGCTTCCCCTCTCCCCTTCGGCTTGGACCCAGTTAGTGCCCCACTTTAAGCGTAGTCGGTTTCGTCATAGGAGTGCACAACCCATGCGATGGAGTCCGGCATGCGATGTAATCGGTCCTTGGGGTCTCGCTGTCAGGGTCTTACCAGATGTGGAGTCCCGTATGCAGAGATATATGCTCACCCTTGCAAATAAACACAGACCAAGGTGACCAGACAAGAAGCCACCTGGCCTGTGAGTCTGTGCAGGGATATACTCCAAGTCGCACTGCAGACAAGGACAAGCAAAAGAGTAGTCGTGGAAAGCCGAAGTTAGGGGAAGCCAGAGGTCAGAGAAATTGAAGAAACAAGCCAAGGTCGGAAGCCGAAGTCAGTCTGAAGAACACTGGATCAAGACACGAAACAGGAACCAAACAGCAGAACCAGAGTCAATGAACTGACACTGCCCTCAGGGAGAGGCAGTGTCTTATACCTGGCTAATTTGGCATCAGCTTCAGGTGGGCTGAGATTGACAGGTGCAACCACGGTTAAAGTCCAGCCCCCAGTGCTGGAGACAAGGCGAAGATAGACATTAGGCAGAAACAAGAACTGAAGTGAGGTCCAGAGGCAAGACAGCAGCACTAAGGCAGAGATGGACAACAGTTCAAATCCCCTGTTGGGCACTTCTGGGGCGACTACGTCTGGATGTCATGGTGCGAACCGTGGCACTTGCAAATGAGTGATGTGCGATTTTGTTTTCCGTTTGTTGATGATGCGGGCTAGCAGTCTGTCGCTATTTAGATAAAAGTGTGCCTTGGTGTGGATGAGTGATCAATGATATCGGTTGTGGAGGATGGTAGCTAAGTCCCATCTCAGGGTCGCCAGTTCCTGAAGGCGGTCACGGTGGGTCTCAAATTATGGGTCTGTTCTAGTTTGAGAATATCCTCTGTGAGCTGTCTCACTCCTGCTTCCCTCTCCTGTTTTATCTCGGGGCGCCCCTGGCCATAAAGAAACCCCTAACTATGCACTTGTGTTTTCCGCAAAATAGTTTGTCTGTGTGTTGATTGTGTCCGACAGGACTAGTGGGTCGCTAAGAAAGGTCTTGTTTAGTCTCCAGTTAACCGTCTTGGGTTTAGAAAGTGGGCGGTCAGACTTAGCGTGAGGGGGCATGGTCAGACTAAGTGGTCACCCCGAGGGTGGCCTGGGTAACAGCATAGGCGTGCGCATGGTGTGTTCCGGGTATGCCTAGGCACACCCTAATCCCCGCGGCATGCGCTATGTGCCTCCCTCCATGGGCTTGTAAAGAAAGATCAAAGATCTCCCTTACCGACCCACAGGCAGGGAGGGAGGTAGGAGAGGACCCGGGGAGCTCTTGTCAGCAGCTCCGCCGGGTTCCTCTTGCGCGGTTATCGCAGCAACGCTCCACTGGACCGCCAGGGAAGGCAGAAGCACGGTCCCCCCTTCCTACATAAGGTAAGAAGGGAGGGGGGATATTAACTAAACGGCCCCCACACATTACACACAAACATACAGCACACACACATACATCACCCTTACACACACACTAACAGCACCCTCACACTAACAACACCCTTACACTCACACAGCACCCTCACACATAAACACACACACTAATAGCACCCTTACACACAGCACCCTCACACACACAGCACACACTAACAACACCCTTACACACACTAACAGCACCCTTACACACACAGCACACACTAACAGCACCCTTACACACACACACACTAACATCACCCTCACCCACACACACAAAGTACAGACTAACAGCACCCTTACACACACAGCACCCTCACACACTAACAGCACACTTACACATACACACATCACACACTAACAGCACCCTTACACACACAGCACCTTCACACACACACACACAGGGCCTTCACACACACACAGTGCCTGCACACACACAGCGCCTTCACACACAGCACCTACACACACACACACACAGCACCCTCACAGCAGTGTGTGTGTGTATGTATATGTCTATATGTATACATATATATACGCGGCGTGTGTGTTTCTGCTTTAGGGTCCACACCCTTATACAATAGGTTGCGCACGCCTATGGGTAACAGTATGTAGGTACTAGTAGGGGACAAAAAAGTAATCTATCCGAGAATACCTAGTATGAGGAACAGAGTAACGTGAGTTGTCCCTACCGTCAGGGTGCATAGCCTGCCAGCAGTCAGATAAGCGGTGAGTGAGGAGTACGTTTCTAATCATCCATAATGTGTGGTCAGAGATAGCCCCCCAACAACAATAAATCACAAAAGTCCAGAATTCTTTTTTTTTTTAAAGGATAGGTTGGGCTGTGCTCCAGGTAATGAGCCCCAATCGCTTGTTTGTTTTCCCTCAGGAGAGCCCTCTGTCGGCCGTGGCGTCACAGAACATGCAGGTGATCTTTCCTCTCCGAGCCCATATCCGGTCCCGTGAAGGCCAGCCTTGTCCAAGGGAAAGAGAAAAGAAGGGGGGAGAAAGAAAGGAGGAAGGGAGGAGAGAAAAGAAACGGGAGAGGAAGAGGTGAGAAGCAGAGAGAGAGAGAAAGAGATAGAGGTGGGGAAAGGTTGAGATGGGGAAAGGGTAGGAGGGAGGGTAAAAAAGGGGGTGGAGAGGTGAGAAGAGGGGGGTGAGAAAGAGGTTTGAAAAAAAAGACACAAAGTGGGAAAGGGGAAAGAAGGGTAGCAGGAACTCCATGCTCCATAGGCCCAGTCCACCGGTGCAGAATGTCCGTCTGGGAGATCGCTGTGATGCAGGCTGCAGTTGTCTGGTGCAGCATCGAGTACGCCCACCTTAGGGACTAAGGTGTAAGTGGGGGATCAGGAGCAGCCTGCACACCTGAGGGTACGAAGGCAAAGGTGGCTGTGGTCATGCTCGCTGTGCTTCCGCTGGGGTGAAAGGTGCAGGATGCCAAATCGGGGGAGGCTGTGCAGGCATTGAGGCCTAGTGCAGGCATTGAGGCCTTACGTACTCAAGGCTTTCAGACCATAGCGCCTGTGGCCCTTGCTGTCATCTGGCGCGGTCTCCATTCCATCCGGGCATGGGCAAATAGAATTAAGCTGGGTCAGGCCACTTCAGGGGCGGGCGGGAGATCAGAGACCCCAGATCAGTGTGAGATCGGAGTACTACCGGGGCCTCTGGAGTGTTCACGGAGAGGCCCATTGGGAACAGCTATCGATAATGGAGCCCCTGCGACTGCAGGGCCCGCGTGAGGGCTGTAGCATCCTGCGGTAGTGTAGTGTAGCGTAGCTGGGAAAAGGTCCGGAAACAGCTGCAGCTTGGTCTGAAGGTGGCGATGGGTGCCGGAATTCCCTAGCCGCCCGCAGGATACTCTCCTGTTCCATGAACAATTCTAGGCAGCATATCTCATCCCGCTGAGGGGCCTCCAGTGGTCCTCTAGGCCGCAAGGCCCGATGGGCGCGAGCAAACGTGATATTCGTGGACGGGTCCCGTTTCAGCAGGCCACTGAAGATGTCTTCCAGAGTGGTGCACAGCTGCTCGTGGGTGTCGTCCATGGAGGGACATCGTCCAGGACTCTGAGATATTCCGCCTGACTGTCAGTCACTTCGCTGGTGAGCGTGAGGTCCCCCTGGAGCAGGTCACAGGTAGATTCCAGGTGGCAGACTTGATCGGTCAGGCCTGTATGTCAGCCCAGATCAAGGCCACCAAGTCATCGCGGGTGGGTAAAGCCCGGAGGAGGGAGAGCCATTTCCTGTCCTCAGGCATCAAGGACCTGTCCTCTGGGGAAAAGCAAGAGGAGTTGTCTCCCTGATCGTCGGAGGCCTCCTCCGACACGGGCTGAGACGGCAGGTCCATCGGAGTAGCGAGGTCCGAAGGAGTTGAGAGGTACCGGCATAGACACGGGGTCAATGAGCCCTTTTTAGAGGCAGCAGCCATCTGGGAGCCGCTGGATCTATTATTTTTTCTCATTTGTGCAGGTATTTCGGGAATTATAGCACTAATTAACACGAGGCAATGGAGCTGGAAAAGTTTATACGGCCATCACCGTTCAGAGCCAATCCCACCCCTCCCCCTGAGAATATTTTTGCATCAACAGGAACTCCAGATGTAAATCCGGAACTACCTATCAAAGCATATTTATGCTATTTGAATGAAACACTGCACAAAACAATCTTCGGGTTGTGTAACACACAGTTACAAAAGAGCAAATACATGTACTATTGAGAGCACAGATCTCAATGTCTCAACAGCAAATAAAGCTGCACATTCAAGACAATCAAGAAATTGTGTTTAATTTATGAGAAATAAAGATGGTAAATGAAAAGTGGGTTTAGCAAGTAGTTTGTTTGTACTTCTCATGCTGTGACTGGATTGCTCTTAAATATAAATTGTAGTTACCTTAAGAGTGTAGATAAAGTCTCTCTCTTTGAAGTCTGATCTTACACAGGCAAGGAGAAAGTCTGGTATTAATGTATTAAACACTTCACCAATATAATACATTAATCCATCTGAATCCTTTAAAACAGAAACAAACATGCAACAGTATTAAGATCGATAAAATTTAGGAAAGGGAAAGGAAGGGGAAAAAAAAGTAAAAAAAGAGGGGTAAAAAAAACACTTTATAGATATACGCTTATAACTATTAGGATTACGGTTATCTAAGGCATATTTTATGAATTTTGTGTGATTGTTTTTTGTTCTTTGTGTTATTTGTTGTTGATACAATAATCAACCCTACTGGAGGGAGATTTGTTAGTGTGCCGCTTTGGCTAGAAAAATAAAAGTAGCAATGGTTATACGAAAATAAAAATGAATCCCAATAGAGCCAAAAGTAAACACAGCGTTGCTGCTCGTGCAGCCGTCAAAAACACCCCAGGACGCTGTGATAAAGGTCCCGGGCCGCCAGGTGTCATGTCCAGAGAGTTAACTTATTCTAAAGACAGGTAAGTTTGTTGCATGTAGGTAGTATCTGCCGAGGGTGAGAGCATATGGATGCCATGAGGGTACATTCAGCCTATCCCAAGCCTGTATCAGGGCCTTCACCTCTGAGCCACGGACTATTTGTCAAGGCCAAGTCAATCCCCTGTGAGGGGCAACGGATGTCTTGGATGTTCTGGGGCTTATTTTGGGCTCCGGACCTCCACTGTTGTGGATGGTGTTGAGGGGAAGAGCCCCTCCTGGCCCTCGACTTGGGTGGGCACGTGGAGTGTTTATTACCTCTCATTTTCTTGTACCAGAGTCTTTGTTCTCTCCCCTTTAGTGCATGGTGTGATATCATCACCTGCTTTTTTTGGTCGGGTGAGTGTGTGAGCGGTTCGTCTGACAGCCATAGGTACGGTGCATTGAGTGCCTGCGGGTGAGCTCTGCAATAATAAGCAGCTTCTTCTGAGCTCCTCGGCTTGCCGTTGCTTATGATTTAATTTCAATTTTTTATTTTTTTTATTTTATCACTAGCAGTATACAAAGTATCTCTCTGGCTGTCAAAGGAACCACATGGGCTAGGACATCGCTATATGTGGTTGCTGATCTGCATCAGACATCGAGGCACCCAGCAACAGCATTAACCCTATGATCCCCTCAACTGTAGCGATCTGGCATTAACCTTCGTACATGACGGAATTATAATGGTGCTCTTGGCACGAATTGCTATAACAAAATAATTCATTCAGTTCTCATTAAGAGATTAAAAAAATTTCCATATCTTTTATTACATGCTGCAAGGATTCTTATAATAAAATATTCTAGTGACAGTTGTCCTTTAACCCCTTAAGGACCAAACTTCTGGAATAAAAGGGAACCATGACGTCACACATGGCGTTAAGAGTATCAGTATAGTAAAATGCTATTCAGTTGTCACTATTTGGATGTTTCAACCCTAATGGCTGTTTACAACAAATTTTACACTTCCATGTGGTTACAATTCCACCGTCTGTTGAAATTAGCTAAATATGAAAATAACAAAGGTTCACAAACGGTCAATTTGCAACTGTACTGACTTCACTAATCTGGACCTGGTGAATTGCACCTAAAGCTCTACTCCATTAAGAAACGTTTGGGGAAGCAATAGGATAATGATTAGATATACTTCAAACCTAAATCCTCCCAAAACTTACTCTTACATAAAGGGCATCTTCTGTGTTCTTGTAACAGTGAAATTCAGTTACTATTCAGTTACCATTTGGTTGAGCTATTTTGAAGTGAATCATGCTATAACAGTAAGATCCATTTGAAAACAGCAAGAATCTCTTTGGCTCAATTCGGTTACTATTTAGAGTGAATACAGTGAACCACACAATACTTTTTACAACGGAGTGCAGGAGAATAGGGCCAAATGCAATCAGCATAGAAACATAGAATGTGACGGCAGATAAAATCCATTCAGCCCATCTAGTCTGCCCAATTTTCTTAATACTTTTAATAGTCCCTGGCCTTATCTTATAGTTAGGATAGCCTTATGCCTATCCCACGCATGCTTAAACTCCTTTACTGTGTTAACCTCTACCACTTCTTCAGCTGGAAGGCTATTCCATGCATCCACTACCCTCTCAGTAAAGTAAAGATAAAATAAAATAAAGCAGAAATTAAAAAAGGAAAATTTGGAACTTAGTGAATAGACCTCAAAGTCTACACTGCCTCTCCTTCCAGAGTATCAAAGAGGTGAAATAGCTTAATTGTGTAAGCCCTTTAAGAGTATCAAAGGAAGGTGACAAGTTCTATGTTACATGTTTGTTAAAGGAATATTCCAAGCTCCAAAACTAATAAAGCACACTGTAGTGGTTACGGTGTCAGGAGTGCCCTGGTGGTGCCCCATCCCTCTCTCCCACACTGTGATTTCTTCTCTGGGGTCCACTGTGTACTGTTCCCCACCTCCTCTCAGCTATTAGTTGAGCCAGAAGCAATGCTAATTAGAGAGCTATAGGCTAGCCTGGAGGTAAAGTGTGGCACCTGACTGACCCCACGTAAGAAATCTAACGATTCTAAAATGCGTACTGTAGTGCCGATGGTGCCTGGAATTTTTTCATTGATAGTACTACGTAGGACCAAATTTTCTAAACATTTTTTTTTTTTTAAAGCGGCACTGTCATGCCGAAACCCGTTTTTTTTTTAACCCCCCTCCCGCCTCCACTGGTGTTGTGGAGACCGGCTTGGAGACTATGGTGAGGCCTAATAGAAAGCAGTTGTTGTTGGGGGATTCCATTATAAGAGGTGTGGAGATGGACAATGGTGGTCTTGTGAGGTGTCTTCCGGAGCTACTGCTCACAGAGACAGGAGACGTATCTGTAATATTGTTAAGCAAGCAAAGCAGGAAGGGGAATTGGATGTATTGTCCATCTAGGGACAAATGACTTGGCTTGCAATGAGGTTTCAGAGGTTAAGGAAGTTTTTAGTGTTTTTGCCAATGATATACGGCAGGTTGCTTCCACACTGTCATTCTCTGAAGTTCTGCCTGTGCATAACACTCAGAACGACAGGCGGATGCGTATTAGGGACTTTAATTGTGGTTTGGTGAATGGTGTCGGGAGCAAGGATTTGGCTTTATTTCTCATGGTAGCTCTGTTTGGAATGGAGATAAGCTGTACAAAAAAGATTGCATCTTTCTCAAAAGGGAACAAATGTTCTCAGTGAGCAGTTCAGAGGTTTTGCTAGGATGTATTTAAACTAGGAGGGGGGGCAAAAGGGTGATAAAACATCAATCCAATTGTCCCCCAAAACAAGGACAGAAGGTGCCTGTAGCAAGTGTGTTAAAAAATGATAAGCTTAGAGTCATGTCTACAAATGCTCGCAGTTTAGAGAATAAGATCCATGAATTTGTGGCAATAATGGCAACTGATAATGTAGATTTAGTCGCTGTTACTGAGACATGGTATAATGAGAAAAATGACTGGGACATAGCAATACCAGGGTACTCTTTATATAGAAAAGACAGGGAAGGCAAGAAAGGGGGAGGGGTGGCCCTGTATGTGAAGGATAGCATAAAATCTAGCCTAATAAATTAGTGAGGCATAAAATCTAGCCTAATAAAAGTTAGTGAGGCAAACATAAGAGTCCGTTTGGGCTACGTTAGAATTTGGTAATCACACAGTAACTCGTGTAGGTGTGATTTATAGGCCCCCAGGACAAATTGAAGAGTTAGATAATCTACTAGTTGAGGAAATAGCTAAAATGACAATGAAGGGGGAAGTTATCATCATAGGTGACTTTAATCTTCCTGATGTAAATTGGAAAACAAAATTAGCTACTTGTACCAGGAGCACACATATTCTAAACTCCCTACTGGGATTGTCTCTAAAAACAAGTCTTTGAGGAGCCAACTCGTAAGGAGGCCATACTAGATTTAGTGTTAACAAATGGAGATTTGGTATCAGATATTACTGTAGGTGAAAGTTTAGGATCCAGTGATCATCGGTCAGTGTGGTTTAATATAAGAACAGTGACTGAGTCACACCACACAAAAACTAAAGTTTTAGACTTTAGAAAAACAGACTTTTCTAACATTAGAATATGTGTAAAGGAGTCATTATCAGACTGGAGCAATTTAAATGGAGTCCAAGAGAAATGGGATTATTTAAAAGTTTCACTGCTGAAGGCAACAGAAAATTGCATTAGGCTTGTCAGTAAAAGCAAAAATTTAGGAAACCACTGTGGTACTCTGCAAATGAGGCCAAAATAGTAAAAAACAAAAAGTTAGCATTTAATAATTATAAAAAAAAACCATAGTGAGGAAGACAGAATGATCTTGTCAGGATCTTACCTGGGTTGGGAGTCTGTAGCGCAGATATGTTGCTCACCCTTGCAGATAGCCACAGGCCAAGGTGGTCAGGTAAGAATTCACCCGGTCTGTGGGTCTGTGCACGGGGGCTGTGCAGGATGAAGTACCAAGTCGCAGGACAGGCAAGGACTCAAACAGCAGGATCGTCAAAGGATAGCCGAGGTCAAAGGATGCCAGAAGACAGGAACAACGAAGAGTAGCCGAAGTCAAGGGATGCCAGAGGTCAGAGTAAACGTAGTCAGAAGCCGGGGTCAATAACAAGTAGCAGTTCAAACAACAGGAACACTGGTACAAGCACACAACAGGATCAAAGACTTGATCCTGATCACAGGGCGAGGCTGAGTTTAAATACCCTGCTAATGTCTGATCAGGGTCAGGTGCAGCACAGCCAAATTCAAGGTACAGCCCCCAGAGTGATAGACAAGCCAGGATGAACAGGACCGGAATGACTTGCGGAATACAAAAGCTGCTGTGGCTCAGAGGTAGGAAGCAGGACCAGGACTGCGAAGTTCCCCGGTTCAAGTCCCTTGTTGGGATCTCCACGGGTGACCACGTCTAGCTGTCTGTTTGATGTGGCGAGAACTGTGACAGATCTATAAGATTAGGCAGAAAGAGGGTAAGCAAGTTATAAGTGCTTCCAAATCACACACAGAAGAGAAAATAGCACAGTCAGTAAAAAATGGGACAAAACATTTTTTAGATACATATATGAAAAAAGGAAAGTAAAACAAAAATTAGTTAGATTAAAAACAAAAGAAGGAAGGTATGTAGAAGAGGATAAAGGTCTAGCTGACTGCCTCAATTAATATTTTTGTTCAGTATTTACAGATGAAAGTGAAGGAAAGGGGCCTCAGTTAGGAAAAAGGACAAATGAGTCATTTGTTACATGTGAGTTTACAGAGGAAGAGGTTCTATTCCAACTGTCAGAAGTAAAGACAAATAAGTCAATCGAACCTGATGGAATACACCCAAAGTTATTAAAAGAGCTTAGCGGTGTACTAGCAAAACCATTAACAGATTTATTTAATTGGAATGATTGGAAGTTAGCGATTGTGCCAATTCTCAAGAAATGTAGTAGGGAGGAGTCGGGCAACTATAGGCCAGTAAGCCTTACTTCAGTAGTAGGGAAAGTAATGGAAACCATGTTAAGGGATCGGATTGTTGAACATCTAAAAACACATGGATTTCAAAATCAGAGACAACATGGGTTTACTTCAGGGAGATCATGCCAAACTAATCTTGTTGATTTTTTTGATTGGGTTACTAAAATAATAGATCAGGTTGATGCAGTAGACATTGCTTACCTAGATTTCAGTAAGGCTTTTGACATTGTTGCACATAGAAGGCTTATCAATAAACTGCAATCTTTAAGTTTAGATTCCAATATTGTTGAATGAGTAAGGCAGTGGCTGATTGACAGGCAACAGAGGGTTGTAGTCAATTGAGTATATTGGAAGCACGGGCTTGTCATCAGTGGGGTACCTCAGGGATCTGTATTCTCTATAATCAGGGACCCATTCTCTTTAATGTTTTTATTAGTGATATTTCAGAAGGTCTTGATGGTAAGGTATGTCTTTTTGCTGATGATACTAAGATATGTAACAGGGTTGATGTTCCAGGAGGGATAAGCCAAATGGCAAATGATTTAGGTAAACTAGAAAAATGGTCAAAGTTGTGGCAACTGACATTTAATGTGGATAAGTGTAAGATAATGCATCTTGGACGTAAAAACCCAACGGCAGAGTACGTGAGGCGTCATGACTTGTTGACGTACGTGCGTGCGGCGCCGCTGTGACGGAAGAGGAGGGGCAGCACGCCAGGGCTGGTGAGATCTGATGCAGCTGTCCTCGGAGGATTCGTTCCCGTTCCTGCTCTGAGGGGCTCCTACGGTTTCTACTTACTGCTAAATCAACTCAAATGCTCGCCCGAAGGTAGATTATTATTTTTTTGATGCCATACGGCCTTTAAAGGATACTAATAATAATTGACTGAAATCTTTGATGGCAAACTCCATGAGATTTTAGGGATGCCGATGCCCACGTGTCTCTTGAAGATTTGTTAGATGGGTTTAATTTATTTAAAAATATAGATGGTCAATAAGGAATGACTAATAGGCATAATTTGAGTCTGAAAAATCTGGATCATAATTTAAGCATATATTGTGACCTATCTATACACAAAAATCTATAAAACAGTCTTAAAAATTGTGTTTTCCCCAGGAAGAAAATCAAGTCCTTTCAGCCAATTTTTTGCTTCTTGTTATATCATTTGACACACAAGAGGATCGGAACGGGCTTAGCGATATATTTAAAGGGCAAGCCCGAAAAATAAAAAAATTTGATATATATAAGGCTTAGCTGAATAAGCTAAAGTTAAAGTTACTTTAAATCTTTAACCTGGCAATATAATTAAACACACGTCTGGGTTTGGAAAAATCATATTTATTTATAATGGCTTCAAGAAAACCTACTGAAGTAAAATCCTCATCAAGAAAGGATAAGAAAGAAGCTTCCCAGGATAAATCAATGAATATTTATTTCTCTCCACAACAACATAAAATCCTGAAACAGAAAATGAATGACATCAATTCCAGTAATGATACCCTGGAATCAGAGGGAATAAAAATATCTGAAAAGGATTTGTTATTGCGTAGCAGCTTAAGATCAAACTTGGAGGAAATAAAGATGGAATTGGCTACGACTGCAGCAGAAATCAAATCAGAAATTAAACAAGAGATTAATGTTCTTGCTGCTAAAATGCAGAGATTTGAGGATCAAGAAATGGATTTTCAAGTAAAAACTCTTACAGATGAAAGCCAGAAGGCCCATAGTAAGATTTTGGCCCTTGAACTCAAACTGAATGATATGGAAGTTGCTGAAAAAATTTACGTTTCAGAAATATACTGGAGAAGCGCACACAAGAGGACTTTTTGTAGACTTTTTTGTAGCTTTGGGAATTACGTTTGATCCACATGACTAGTTAATAGAAAGGTGTTATAGGCTGTTAAAACCTCAATCTATTCAGAAGGATGTGCCCAGAGATATCATTGCTTGGTTTTTTCATATCAGTTTAAAGAATCAATTTTGAAGTCCGTAAGAGAAAATCAGATCAAATCGGGGAATTTTTAAAATGTAAAAGTTTTTCGTGATCTCTCTTTTGAAACCAGAGAAAATAGAAAAACATTTGGTGTTGCTACTCAAATTCTAAGATTTCATGATATAAGATATAGGTGGTTAAATCCCTTAAAGATATATTTTAGCTATGAGGACAAAAGAGATTTTCGATTCAAATTTAAATTTAGTTGAATGGATGAAGAGTAAGAAATTACTATAGTAGAATTACTAATAAAGGACAAAAGGAGTGGGTTTTTTTTAATGATATTTAATAATGATCTTTATGCTATAATACAAATGTTTTCCATGTCAAATAGGGAAACATTTGTGGTTGTATATTGTTAAAGGAGTCAACAGTGAAATGTGCAGAGTATGTAGTTTTATAATCCATTATGTAAGCTGATAACAGGGCCTATACATTATTCCCTTTAAAAGATTCATAGAATTAAATAAACGTTGAAATCTGCTAATTGCTTGCTTGAGATCGTAATAATAGGGGAAAATATAAAAGTGGCAATGGTAAAATTAACTTAAAACCGGATAATTGTTAAGAAATTATTTCTGCTTACTTTTGCTAAACAGATCAACTTTAATGTTGTGTTTCTTGACCACAGATATTTTAAGTGATACCTGGGAGAAAATTATTTTTTCCCTTTTTTTTTGTAACATATTTATAATAAGTGTTATTTATCACAATTTAAAAATATTTTTGATAGAAGGGATCACACAGGATAGTGATATATGAAGTGTTATGGGTATTAATAATTAGATTGGCACTTGATTCTGTATCAGGGTTTATACATAAAAAATTGATAGATGCTCAGGATATAATAAAAAACAAAATTTATCACTTTTCTTTTAAAGGACCACTCTAGGCACCCAGACCACTTCAGCTTAATGAAGTGGTCTGGGTGCCAGGTCCTTCTAGGGTTAACCCATTTTTTTATAAACATAGCAGTTTCAGAGAAACTGCTATGTTTATTAATGGGTTAAGCCTTCCCCCTATTCCCTCTAGTGGCTGTCTCATTGACAGCCACTAGAGGCGCTTGCGTGCTTCTCACTGTGATTTTTACAGTGAGAGCACGCCAGCGTCCATAGGAAAGCATTGTAAATGCTTTCCTATGCGACCGGCTGAATGCGCGCGCAGCTCTTGCCGCGCGTGCGCATTCAGCCGACGGGGCAGAACGGAGGAGGAGAGAAGGAGGAGAGCTCTCCGCCCAGCGCTGGAAAAAGGTAAGTTTTTACCCCTTTCCCCTTCCAGAGCCGGGCGGGAGGGGGTCCCTGAGGGTGGGGGCACCCTCAGGGCACTATAGTGCCAGGAAAACGAGTATGTTTTCCTGGCACTATAGTGGTCCTTTAAGATAGTTAGGGATGGTTTATATATGTTGGAATATGGAGAGGCAATTACAAACCGAAACACTGTTTTTTACTTTTTAATTTGATCTACACTAAATGGTATTTTTATAATGTGTTGTGTAAACAAAAAGGTGTTGTTAGATACAATATGAATTTAGAAACATTTTTTGGGTAAAAAATATTACACAAGAATTTTGATATAAGATGTGATTTAGGTTTAAATAATGTGATTGACACTTGATTTTGCAGTAGGGTTTATTCACTAAAAATTGCTGGATGTACTGGATTAAACAAATGGAGGCTTATAGGATGCAAATTAAATGTCTGTGTCGTCATATAAATACAAGTATAGTTGGGTGGATGGTATTAGGTTCAAGTCAGAATTTTTAAGAATTATTCAATTTGATATGGTTTAATATATTGATTGAAGGTGTTATTTAAGCACATATATACATATTTTTTTTTTTGTCCTTTTTTGTGAACTTTGATAAGGTTCGGTAGCGGCCTCTGAGGCGGTGTTCTGTTTTCCTGGATGGTCAGCCCCTCTTTGTGTAGTGTTACTACATTGTTCTTGTTGATTTCTATTGAAATCTACGGTTTAGTAGAACTATGTTCTTTCAATTGTTCAATGTTGTCCGTGAGGGTCAGACCTGTGTTAGTTCCGTCCTCAAAAGTATGTGTGGTATGTTTTTTTTGTTTATTTGTTTTTTCAGAGTAGGAGATATTTACATGAAATTGTTGACATAAATATATGTTAAAATTATTGTCTATAAATGTCCAGGGTTTAAATACAAATAGAAAAAGGAGTAGACTGTATAATTCCCTTATTGAACATGACATACAAGTGGCATTCATACAAGAAACTCATTGGCTTAAAGATTCTAAACAAAGATGGGGGGGGAATTTACAACTATTATTCACTTCTCATTAATGGATAAGAAAAAAAGAGGAGTTGCAATCATCTTTAACAGAGATATAAATCTTGAAATTAAACATATTGAAGTAGACCCAGAAGCTAGATTTATAATAATGGTCTGCGTTATTGACAATAGGATTTATGCTCTGGTTAATGTTTATCTCCCTAATGTAGATC